ATGTTGGAAAGAAAAAGAGGAAAGATAAACCGTGCAAGAAGTTCAGCTAAAAGGAACAGGCCTTGTGTGTATTAGTCTATTTTGAGTTCTCGTTCACGATTGCCGGGATTGCCGTCGGCAACAGTACTGCAGACAAACCTGAACATCACAACGTTTTTTTCTAGCTTCTCCACTCTTACTATCTCGTTCACTATTTCGCTACCTCGCTCGCTTGCCGCGTCTTTACTTGGAGAAAGAAAGTGAAAAGGGATACAGCTGTGCAGGTTTTAGTCTGCAGCACTAATCCACTCCGAGCTCGCAGCTGCGCTTAGAGTGAGAGATTTGCTTAGAGGTGGAATATTAGTAGAGAATTAAATATGACTTAAGAAATTTTTTTCATCCCCCCCCTTCTCCAATAATAAGTCATTCCACACCTGCAAATCCACCAAATAGCCGCGCATATATTAGGTGTTGGAATTAATTCGTAGCGTTTTTTAATGAAAGAATGTTATTTATTTCACATGAGCATTAAAAAATACATTAATGAAAGTACTTCCCATCACTTGTAAAACGCTACGAATTAATTCCAACACCTAATACATAACAGTACCCGATCTCTTATTTATCACAGGTAATTTTACAAAAATGTTGAAACAAAACTAAACTGATAATAATAACAATTAATTAAGCGAGGACATGATCAGCTAACTAATAGTTAAACAGCATAAAAATTTTATCAGTTAGGATAACTCCGGTATATACGCCGCACCTATCAAAAACTTAATTTATTAAGGATTATTTACTATGTTTATAGTAAACGAACTATATCAGTAAATACTTTGTTCTGTCTACTACTATGAAAAAAATATTAGAAATCTGAAATATTGATAATTATTTAGTATAAGGGACCACCAATAACCTTGACCTTGACATATGTTGCTCTAAAGACACAAAAATTATATAAGAAAATATTTTGCGCTGTTAGAACAGGGAATTTATCGGAACGCAGTCATGTCCAAAAGTTAGGTTTTATTGAAGAATTTTTTTTGTTAATAACTTTTTAACGAACAACGAGTGACGGCTAAAATTTGTTCAAAATCATTCAAGGTCATGACCTTGACAACATATGTCAATGTCATTGGAGGATGGTCCCTTATACTAAATAATTATCGAATTATTTATTTTTCATATTAAAAACTTTTTGAAACCCTTGCATTTTTACCGTATATCTCATAGGGATGGGATATATGGCTACTCATAGGGGGAAGAAGGACGTACGACTCATGAAAAATTTACAAATAATGCATATAAATAAGACGTATAATGACACAATAACTTATAAAATGTTTTTATTTATAAAGTTTTATTAAGGAATAAGAATGGTAAATATGTATATGAAGTAATAAATAATAATTATAATTTTCCTACATATATTATAAGTATTATGACATGGTCAGGTACATATTTCATATAATGCGTTTATTGTACTGAATTCAATCTACGCACTTTGTATGCTTTGAGCAGAAATCCCGCTAAAAATGCCGTATATCCCAAACAGGTGGGATATACAAGACAACAAATTAAACAAAGAGTACAAAAGCAAAGTATTTGTATTTTACACAACATGCTTTACTATTTCACTACACGAAATAATCACTAAATCTTTTGCACGCCCTACAGTAACATTTTATGTAGATTATAATTTATGACAACATTACTTATTACAGTGACAAATATCGATTCAACTTACAATAATTTCAATAATATTAACAGTAAGAAGCTGAAATCATAATACAATACTAATATAACATAAAGGCATGTAACAGAGTAGTTGCGGGAAAATTACTGCCACTCTTTCTATTTTTTCTGACTTCTGCGACATAAATCCTAGCGCAGCGTATTTGCCAGAGTTACCCTATTGATAATAAAATTTAACAGAAATGGACAATTGTAAATAAGTTTTTATCATTAAATGGTAAATCTATTCCAATATACTGTCACCAATTACAATTTAAAGCGACGGAACAAGAAGATTAACGGAGACGAACACAAAATTCGAACTTGAAATCCTTCATTCATTTTCCCAATGATCAAAAAGCTTCCTCACGACCAGTGGCAGATTTACATTTTTGTATCCTTCTTGGTGCCCCTTTCAGAATGAACAACCAAAAAAAGAGGCTTCGTCGAAAGGCACTTTTCTCCGAAGCGCAAGCGTTTGACTATATTGGCGGAAATGCGCTACACCTGGCAACCCTGCATAAATATAAGATTAACTTCAATCTCGATTGCTAAAAGGATGACACCCTAGACCTCAGGACTTTATCTGCTACTGCTCACAATTGCTCCACTATTCATAATTCTCATACAATGAACAGTTATCCATTAGTTAACGCTCAGTTTTTTTATCAATTATATTATATTATATTTTTCATATAAAAGATGTGTTAATTTTTAATATATTATAAATATTAAATTTATGTTAAAACGTACTCATATTAATATATACTGCTCAACAAAAATAGGAAACATTTTCAAAACATCCAAAATTGCACAATTTTCATCGAAATTTAGTAAACATTGCAGACAAAAAGCATATCAAATCTTAAACTTGTACTTTAACGCTTTTGACCATTTTTCAAAAAAATTGTTATTTTTATAATTCTTCTTATTTTTACAATATCTTAACAATTAAAGATCTATTATGTTCTGTAAAACTACATTCAAAAGTTTGCAGCTTAATAAAAAACTTTTTTCATAAAAAATTTAATACTTTTACAAAAAAATATATAATTTTACAAAATGTTTTTTTAAAAACTTTCTTATGATTGATTTTTCTTAACCGAATTACGCGACTTTAAAACTGAACCTATATTTCTTACAACTAAGATAAGAGGATGAAATTACCGAAAAAGTAACCAAAAGTCATTTGCACATACATATAGAAAGTACATAATATCTTTCTACACATCTAAAGCTAGAAAATTTTTAAATTTCAAGGCATTATATAGACAAACATGAAAGTAGTGCGTAAATGAAGCTGATACTAATTGTAAAAATTTGAGTAAGTTTTGTATATGAATACATTCATCATCTCTATATATAATCTTGAAACTTGTAACTTCTTTTGAATGTAATTAACATATATACAAATATAGATCAATTGTATCAAAGAATACAATACTCTAGTAGAAAATTTTCGCTGAAATTATTCTACGTTTAGGAATACTTTTTAAAAAAATTTCAGCAAAAATTTCAGAGAAATTTCAGAAAAATGTCAATTCAATTTCAACGATTTTTCGATGTTAATGGAAAAATTCACTTTCATTGAAATTTCAACAAATTTTTCATCAATTTCGCAGAAATGTTCTAAAACGTGGAATAATTTATTAATTTCAGTGAAATTTTTTCACCAAGGTATATAAGCAATTAATTATTATGAGTAGCATATTGAGAGTAATTAGTATGGTTTTATACCATATTTTCGTTATATAATGCAAACTTACAAAAGTTTGATCTTTTTTGAATTTTCGCATGAGAATAGTATTATTTGGTTATATGAGATGTATATTTAACTTTGTATATGTCACATTCACAAAAATTCATCCATATTTATAATATCCATATTTATAAATTTCAATTTTGAAATTGAAAAATTATGAAATTTATATGTCGCGATGGGATATATTGCCGAAAAAGTAGCAATAAAAAGTCAAAGATGTATACACAACAAATAAGAGTTTAATGTCTATTATGGTTGAAGATGCTTTTTAAATAATTTCTATGAATTTATATACTAAGTATATAGTCATTTGAACTACGCGCCGAAAGGTTTTTTGGGACTTAAATGCAAACTACTATAGTAATTTAATGCTCAATCTGGCATCCTATCCTCAGAAAGATGTTAATGTACTGAAAAATTATAATTAAATAACTAAAATTAAAAAACTATAATTAAAATTTGGCCTTGATTTTGATAAATATGTTATTCAGAATATGATTGAACATTCAAGAGGTTTTAGCCGGTTGAATATCTTGCGTAATGCTAATGCCGACGGTACTGTAACTTTCAAGCCTTATAACGAAAAATACTTAATGGAAAATAAATTTATTACAGTGTTTTGAAAAGTTCTTGACACCAGCTATTAAATTCTGGCATAAAAAATAGGGCAAAATACGGATTTTGCACTTTAGTTACACTTTACTTCAGTTTAAAAACACGTTTAATCAAAAAAGACAGTTAACATACTAAGAACTACAGCATGTTTGTCGAATAAATAGTTATTCAATAAATAAATTACAATGCAATTAATGTAACGTGCTAATCACTTTGTCAAGTCATTTTCTAAATTAAATTTGATCAAAATTATCGAATAAATCAATCCTCAAATATTTTCTGAGCACCTATCATGGAACATTTCGATCGAAATCCATTCCAACTTGTTTCACGATAGGTGCCTAGGTATCCTTTTGTGTAACTCGTTAAGACAATAATGACATCGTTGCACAGATATTTTATGATATAAAAAGCTACGCAACGATGTCGTTACTATTTTAACAAGTTACAGAATAGAATACCTGTAGGCCTATTCTGTAATTTTTAACAACATTCGTTATACTATCGTTGTAGAGCTTTTTTATCATGTAAAGTACCTGCGCAACGATTCGACATCCCTAGCTAGTAAAACTGTCGTTAAAAAGTTACAGAGGCGTGTTCTGATTCCCACCAGCAGCAGTATTCTGTAACTGTCTGTACACGCCTACCGATAGTTATCGATATCGTTGCGCAGCTATTTTATATAGTGAAAAAGCTGCGCAACGACATATAACAATATCGACATTGTCGTTAAAAGTTACAGAATAGCGTCTGCTCCTCAGATGTCATGTCATTCTTATTTAACAGTTCAAAACAACAAGAATGACATCGGGGGGACATCCAAATAGGAATCTGAACATACCCCTGAATAGGTTAACTGGTCTCTCGATCGCAACGATTATTGATTGTAATCTGTTATCTGTCTTACCGTGACTCGTGATAAAATTGGCGAGATAGAGATCTAGTTCCCGGACAGAAACGTTAATATGATAAGGATTGACGCAAAGTCCCGGCTGCGCGCATTCTGCAGTTTTTTCAAGTCGTTCCCCGTCCGTCGATTCCAATGGAATTGCCTTGAAAAGAATCACCATAACTAGGTCCAACCTCCATACCTATCACAGAGATGCGAATATTCATAAAAGTTTGCATTGTCAAATTCTCATTGTTAAATATTAATGACTCTCTTTAATAAAAATTCATTTAATGAAATATAGATAAGGATGCGTAAAAGCGTACGTGGGTCATCGGACTTACCTTGTCTGCTTGACGAAGACAATCGATTCGACGCATTTTACCCTTTTGATCAGGATTGCTTAGAACGCACATCGCTGGTCTCTTTCCCGTAATACTCAATACAAAGTCTTCTCGATATTCTTGCGTGATATCCTTTCGTAATTTTCCTAAAAGCCGCGAGGCCCATTTCTGTTTTACTTCCAGCTTCTCGTTCTAAGGAAAGAAAATACATCGTTAATTGCGGACACGAGAATGACAATCATTCGAGTTGCATCATTGATTCATCGATTTCGTGGTCTAACAAACTCTTTCCTGATAAAAAGAATACGAGGGCAAGTCAATAAGTTTTTAGAAAAACATAATAAAACACATTTTATTTTTATCAATTCATTTTTATTTCTCAACATAATCTCTTTTCAGCTCGATACACTTAATCCAACGATTCTCCAACTTTTTCAAGCCATCCGAATAATATGAATTGTCCAACTCTTCAAAATAAACCTCTGTTTCGGCGATGAAACTGCTCTCTGGTGAATCTCTTTCCTCCGAACCATTTCTTCAGGTTTGGAAAAAGGAAATAGTCGCAAGGGGCTAAATCTGACGAATATATTAGATGGGAAAGCAATTCGTAGCGGAATTTGTGGAATTTGGCCATCGGTGCACGTATGAACCCGTGCATTGTCTTGATGGAAGAGTACTTTCTTCTTTGCCAAATTTGGACGTTTTTTCTTTAAAATATTGTTGAAATGGTTCAATAAGAATGCGTAGTAATCGCGATTGATCGTTTGCTTCGACAAATAGTAATCGATATAAATTATACCGCGTGCATCCCAAAAAATTGTGGCCATCACCTTTCCGGCCGACTTCATGGTCTTCGCCTTCTTCGGAGCTGATTCACTCGATGAAATCTATTGTTTTGATTGTTCCTTCGTCTCGGGTGTGAAGTAATGGACCCATGTTTCGTTCACAATAATGAATCAACGCAGAAATTCACCTGGATTACGTTGAAACATCTCCAAACATTGTTTTTAAATCGTCACGGTTGCGCTTATGGTCCACAATGAGCAAATGCGGCATCCATTTTACCGATAGCTTTTTCATACCCAATTGTTCATGCAAAATTGAAATCACTGTGCCATGTGATATGCTTGTGGCCTCAACAAGCTCGCGCACTTTCATTCGTCGATCAGTCAAACCAATATCGTGGCCTTTATCGATGATTTCTAGCGTAGCAGCCTCAATTGGACGTCCTGAACGAGGTGCATCACATGTGGATGTACCACCAAGTTTAAATTCATTCACCCATTTATATACAGTCGCAAACGCTGATGCAGATATGCTATTAACATTATCCAACTCGGTTTTGATTTCTTTCGGCGTTAAACCTTTCATATGTAGATATTTGATCATTGCACGGAACTCGTTTTTTTCCATTTTACAAAAAATACAAATATCTTTTAAAAATAACTGTAATTGCCAATGTATTGTGTATGTTCTCCAATTCGTATTCGGTTTCAATTGTGATTCCAATAATCTGTCAACTGTTGAGAGACCCACACATTACAATTTGATTGCGGAATAAGAATTTGTGATCTAACAATGGATAACTCATTCTAAAGATGACTCAAAGAGGAGTCGAAACGTCAAAATTCTATTATATTATGATTGCGCTCATCGAAATCACATTAAGGTTTATGGAATAAACTAAATAAACATAAGATAATCGCATTATTAATTGCATTAACTCCTACAACTTTTATTATTTTTTATTATTTTAAATGGAATTATATGATTTTTGCATAATATGATTTCTCTAATTATTCTGCATATAAAAGTATTAGGGTAGTAATATCAAAAAACCAATAGTTCATAAGATATTTTATGCTTTATTCTAGCATATATTGATATAAAATGTTAAATAACTCGTAAACCATTAATTTTTTTGTAATCTTACCTTAATACTTTTATGAACAGAATAATGAGATAAATCAATTGATGGAAAAAAAGCATATAGTTGCTTATTTTAAAAAATTATCCATTATGCTGTGGGGAATTCTTAATGCCTCACTAGCGCAGCGAACGTAGTAAGCTTAAAAATTGTGTTGATAACGAGTTGCCTAGCAGCGTAAAAAAATAATAAAAAAAGAAATATTATATTAACAGATCAATAGAGGTGTTCGTCCTGTACGATCATATAAAATTGTGCTCGTGAAATAAATATTATATTTATAGTTACAAATTAACTCTCGATTATTATTTTCTTTATCACATCACACGACAAGCGTGGGCTTGTCAAGAGAACTCTGACTTATCCATTGAGTCACATATTCCCACATTGGTGACCCCGACGTGATTGTGATACGTAAGGCCATCGTGATACAAAAGGCCGACGAGATCTAAAGGCCGATGTGATCGAGAGGAAAAAGCGATTAACTGGTAACTGTCGTTCGAGCAACATCGAGATGAACTTGGTTTCGAACCGAGCAGAAGTGCACATTGCCGACGTCGTAGCCGATAAGGAAGCTCCTGGCCGGCTGAGTAGCGGA